AAAACAAACAAACTATTTCTGTCACGTGAAATGTAGAATATAATCTTGTTTTAATTTCAAATAAAACAAATTAAATGGACATTTTACATAAAGTATTATTATCTTTACTCTGGATGAATTTATGATAAAACCAAAATATTTTTGGAACAAGAAAATTTATAATGATTTCAATTCAGAATAAGTCATGTTTAAAGTTCATCTTTAAATATTAATAAGCAACATAATTTTTTTTATCCGAAATAACAAAAAAATTCTACTGGAAATGTATATTATTTTACATGCGAGAAAAATATTTCAAATTGATAGCAGATATCTCAGACATTAGTTCATAAAATGCTTAATACCTGGGAGAATAAATCTACTTCAAGTCTACTTTAAAGATAGTTTTTATTTTATTTTCTTAAACCATCTCACCATCTTGGAAGTTGGATTTCATCCAAAACTTTTCATTTCTTACTGCGTCACGTTTTTGGGCTCTTTCAACATTTTCGAGAACCTACAAAGACACACATACACACAGATTTAAAACTTTCATCTAGTTACAATATTTTATCAATTTTTTATTGAGTATTGCTAAAAAAATATATTTAAACAAACTTTTAAATTATTATAATCAAGGCTTGATATTAACGGGGATCCAAGCTTGCATCAAGGCTCACACATTTGAAAGATGTAAATACAATTTCTTTTTTTGTCAACATTTTCCAAAAACAGGCAAGTAAAAATTGCAAACTTGTCAGTTGTTTGGCGAATCTACTTTACTGCATGAACATTGTTTGTAAATATATGCATGATAGGACAAACACTTTTGAATCCAACTGCACTGGCAAAAATTAAAACAAACAAAAAACATAATATTACTGTTTTATCGATCGTGTCACCCATTCCGATTATGTGCAGTAAAGTTGGTGATGTCATTGTACAGTATTGTTGACAGTTTAACCTTAAAAACTGTAACGACTACACAGAATGTACTTTGAAGCTTCATTAAAGTTGAAATGGTTGAAATTATCAATAAATGTACCATGAAAAAAAATCCCGATGTCTTTTCTGAGTTTTATTCGAATGACTGTAAAATAAAAATGGCGATTGACCTTGTGGCTAGTAAATGATCGATAAGTAACGTTATATGACTGTTGTGAGAGGCCTGATCTCCTGATCGGAATTTAGGTCTTTTGTGACCTAGGAGGGTCAGGCAAATTGTTTGTTTGGTTTGTTTTGAATTTCGCGCAAAGCTACACCAGGGCTATCTACGCTAACCGTCCCTAGTTTAACAGTGAAAGACTAGAGGGAAGGCAGATAATTATCACCATCCACCGCCAACTCTTGGGCCACTCTTTTACCAACGAATGGGTGGGATTGACCGTCACATTATTGACCTCCCTTTCGTTCAGTGTATCAACTTACGTAAGTAAATGAGAAACAGACAAGATTGTTTAACTGATGATATTTTATTCTATGGTGAATAATGTTTCGTGTCAAAAGGAAAAAAAAAACAGGGTCGTGATTGTAAGCATACTTACAAATCAGAAAATTGTTGTTGTGAATAAAGTGGACTGGTTGGTGTTATCTTTCATTTCTCGGCAATCCGTTTTCCGTGATCGGGAAATTCGACAAATTTTACCGATTCCGATCACCGATCGGTAAAACTGCATAAAATGAAATAATGATTTTAAAACAGGAATAATAATGCAATTCTCCCGATACATTTTCCACGTCTGTTTCATAACTTAATTTCACCAGGCATAGCAAGAAAGCCCATGGGCTGCTATCATCCTTGGGGTTAAGGAGGAGCTACCTAACATCTGTGGTCTCTTTTGGCTTACTGCTGTCTGTACCAACTAGCTCTGCTGAGGCAGAGATTCAGCAAGATGAAGATGATCAAGACCAATTTGAGATCTTATCTGGGAGTTGACAGGATCACTGACCAGCTTCCGGTCATGCTCCACTCATCTTCAGTAAGTGACTTTGATCCCATAAGAGCTATCCATCTTTGGAAATGAGGATCACTTCGCACAAGGAGACCTAATACTGTAGAATCCAGACTGAGAAGCAGGTGCAGGAGAGGGACGAAAAAGGGGACGAAGGAAGAATCCAAAAAATGGATGATGGGACATCATCGAACACTGACACATACCAGATTTCCTTTCACTATTTATTTTGATTAGGAAAGGACACATTTAACTCATCACCACCTAAGACCTTTTAGAGCTACTTGCATGTTTTCCATATGATATTCTTCCTTATTACAAATTCACGAAAGACTAATTAACAGCTGTTTCTGGATATGAAAGAACGGATTCCTATAAAACTAGTGGTGATGCGAATTGAACAATATTCCATCTCTCCATCAAATGTTTGACATTTTATTGACAAATATGTGTCAGCTAGATGGTAATTTGTTATATGGGAACAAGAATAGATTAGACTAACAATGATGCAAATATTTTCTTCCATTATTGATTTTGATTATTAAAAGACAGTACTTTAAAGTGAAACAAAAAGTCAGTTATATCGTGCTTCAGAGAGAAATTAAAGATCATATATAATATAAAAATCATTGAAGTTGTCTGAAAAAAAAATGAAATAGTTTGAGTTGTTTTTTCTTCTTCATGAAATACGAGTTCACAATAAAATAAATTGAGACATGTTGATATCTTTAGTTTACTTTCAATTTATGTAACATCCGCTACTTAATTCGGTGATTTTTCTGATAACCTCCACCGTAGAGCACATTTTACAATGAGCTATAGGATTGTCCCCTAAAAATGTGTTTTGGGGACCAAGCTGGTTCCCTGAAAAAATTTAAGCGTCAGCCCTGATAATTATTATAAACTGCATTTAAACAATCAATAAGAATATATCTATTTTGTTAGAAATGTAAATGTATTTTTTAATTTAATAATCAGTTATTTCGTAAATCTTAAATAAATCAAAAATGTCTGCGTTTAACCGAGATGCTTATAAAGGATTTATGTCCTAAAAAAATCATTACTTTGAATTTAAAATCACATACTCATTGGAAATGTTTGTAATTAATCAGTTAAAAGTTGTTTGTTCTGGGTGATTTTTGCTTGGGCAGTTTAATTAGTTTTCTTTAAAGTGAATTTAATGAAAATTATTCTTACCTTACTGATTGGTATGAGTAGGCTTAACTTTTTCTCAAGGATGATTTTGGCCAAAATCACCACAAATATGGAAAAAGCTGCGTTTTCGTAGTCTGTAAACTGTACCTGTTAGTATTAAATATGAAAATAAGTCAAAAAGATGAATATTCTACAGTGCATTTATCTTGACTATCTCAGATAAAAAAAATAATGTAGTGAAAAATAAAACCCGAGTTTAGAATCACTAAATTTATAATTTCTCAGAGCCACAAATAATCGGTAACCTATTTTCGAGCCACGTTTTAAAGATTATGTTATAGATTTAAATTGTACAAAATAAATCAAACTATAGTCAGTTATGTGTCTTGTAAATTGTTACGTTTTGAAAACAAAATTTAATAATAGAGATGTGATATCAATTAAACATTAAAAAAACTAAAATAAAGATTCATCTTTAAAGGGGGGGATTATAGTGTGTGTGTGTGTGGTGATAGCATATTAATGAATATGTTACAGCATATTTAGTTAATTTAATTAAATTATGAAACTCACCTCCATGGGTCTAAACTCCAATCGCCAGAAGGCGCTATTAGCAGCATCGGGAATCTTGAGCCGGATTGTTGGAAACGTCGTACTGAGCAAAACTACCTAAAAAGGAAACATCAGCGTATCTCTTGTATGGTGTTTTTAAATGTCTAACTCACCACAGTGAAACTCCGAATCAATATTAGCATACCTTGTTGATAATATATAACATTTTTTTTATAACATTAACTTCGAAAATTGTACTTGAAATATTTTAATCACCTGAACATTTTTCTTGGTTTGTTTATTTGTTTGTAATTAAGCACAAAGCTACACAATGGGCTATCTGTGCTCTGCCCACCACGTTGTAAGTCCGCAGACATACCGCTGTGCCACTGAGGGGCTTCTCTTGGTTTAGTTGGAAATTTCGCGCACAGTGCTAGCACAGTGAAAGACTAGAGGGAAGGCAGCTAGTCATTACCACCCACCGCCAACTCTTGGGCTACTCTTTTTATCAACGAATAGTGGGATTGACCATCACATTATAACGCCCCCACGGCTGAAACGGCGAGCATGTTTGGTGGGACGGGGATTCGAACCCGCGATCCTCAGATTGCGAGTCAAGAGAATATTTTTCTACGAAATTTCTTCAAGATACATATTATGATTCAATAGATTAACATTGATATACTATTTGGTATTTCGTTGGTTGACATCTCAGCGACATAGCTTCCACCAGGTTTGATATACAAAAGTTATTTTAAACTATCTCTAAGAAACCACCCATGACCAAAAATTAGACGAACAAAATAAACTAAGAAACCCAATAATATCTTCCGTCTTCGGGAGTCAATTTATGTAAGGAACATGAATCCAAGTCAGGGAAGCATAACCCATTTCTCTTCAAACAATCAATAACGATTTTAAGTAAACCTTTGTGGGGGAACTGGATTTTCGAAATCTCACATGATGATCCTAATTATTAAAAATGTCACAGTAGTATTAAAAAACACGTGTTTAGGCAATCAAGTTCGTGCACATACTTAAACGTAATAAATTACTTAGTAATTTTTTTTATCGAATGTGGAAACAATCCTTGTTCTTTCAATAACAAATCCATGTTTGACTTAATACAGACTAAAAAACTTACGAGCAAATTAAATGTTCCAGTCTCATCTTCCTCCAGTTGCTTCTCCGAAACGAATAGTGGATCACGAGCAAAAGATCGAGAAATTAAACGAGCTAGTTGAGGATCTACTCCTATTAAAAAAAAAGAGAGAGAGAAAACATAGCATCAGTTATATTTCCTAGTAAATACCAGACTTCGTATTACAAGTAGATGGTGGACTGGTCGTGTGGTAGAAGCTCTGAATTTGGGAGTTAGTGAGCCGGGTTCTAATTCGTGCAACACCATAAAATTATTTCTCGCATTTTAAGCTTTAGATGCGTTATATTCATAACAGTACTGTATAGTCTATAGATTTCATATATCATTGAAAGAAAGTCCAGAAAATTATAAATGGGTTGCGTTGCTGAATTATAGGCTTTTAGGTCTGTAACAGATTTAGTTGCAAAACTTTCAAATTCAAATAACACTGCATTCATTTATAATAAAGTTGAAATCCACACAAACCGAACAATTCCAAATTGATACCGACACTAATTTCGACATTTCAGTCCAACATATGTACAGTTAATACATATTTCTCAATGTTATTAATAACAAAAAGAAATATTCAGAATTATTTACTTAGATGTTTTTTATATCTCATAAATATGTAAATATCTGGTAAATATGTGGGACGTTGTGGGATTCAGGTTAAACCAATTAGAAGGAGTACCCCCGACTCAGTTTGAGTCTTGCTTTGGCCTGTACCTCAAAAAATGGGACACATTATACAATTACACACCTTGGGGTTTGTACCCTGTTTTGAATGTAGGTTTTGTAGTTGCGTTTTTTTTGTTTTGCAGAAAATTAACTCTAACTATATCTCATCTAAGGTTTGGATCTGCTGTGTTTACGCTATCCTTCCTTATGATGTGTATCTGTTACAAATATTTTATGGCTTATTTAAGTATATATAACAATAAAGCGAAACATGGAACCCAGATAAGAGTAAATTAGTCTTGATGTGCATACAAAACTAAAATCCAGATGGATATGCCGAAACTTAATGTTCGTACTAAAAATATGTTTAGTTTATTTCGAGTGCCAGCGTCACCTGGAAAACTTGAGCATTCTTTTTAAATGTTTAAAATTCTACAGCAAACGTTTTTAACCGGTTTAGACATGGAAAACTCCGTTCGCTGTCATTGATCTAACTAGAATAATGAGAGCTCACAATTTATGGGTTATCGAATATCTGTAGATATATACAATGCCGTGTGTTATATCAAACTAAAATCCACACTTTTTTGAACTTTGTCACAAAGTCTCCTTTACTAGTTTCCACACATTCACGTGCCCTACAAACCCACGCACCCCCTTCAAGTGGCACAGTGGTAAGTCTGCGGATTTACAACGCTAGAAATCTGGTTTCGATACCCACAGTGGGCAGAGTACAGAAAACCCATTGTGTAGCTTTGTGCCAAATTACAAAAAACAAATACAAACTCAATTTCTAGGAAGGTTGCCAGATTTGACATCATCGCACAATATTTTGTCGGAGTATCCATATCGTCTAATGATCTGCAAGTTTATTAATTCTTCGTTACTATACATGTATGGTTTCTGAAGTGAAGCGAGACCATCAACTGGCCTGTTGCATTCCACCAGAAATTTTTGGACTCATACAACGCAACAACCTAACCAACAGCAAGAAAGACAAACAAACAAAACAAAAAAACCGCCACAACAAAAATCTAGATCAACTAAGATGCCAACAACAGAAAAGACGTCAACATGACGAACCATCAACCAATCTCATAATTAACAGATCCGACCGACAATTAAGCGCTGAAGAGATACATCTGCTCAACAAAGGACTCAACTTCTCAGTAACGCCAAGAAATATTCCATCTATTGAAATAAGGCGTGCCTTGAAGACCTAGCCAGAAGACTAGTGATCGATTCTACACAGACCAAAAACACCAACAGAACTACGGAAAACAACCACCGGAAAGGAGACAAAATCAACATCAATTCCATCAATAACCAACAACTTATCTTCCCAGGTAAAACTGAAAACATCTATTTCCCCGAAACACCTCAAAATAGTATTTTAAACAACTTTTTCAAAGAATTCTCACACAAAACCACCAACATAATTTCACAGAAAAGAAAGCTAAAAAACAACCTTACACAGAAAGATATTAATTATATAAACAACCTAAAACAAGACAACAACATCAAAATTCTAAAAGCAGATAAAGGCAATGCTGTTGTAATAATGAACACAAGTGAGCACATTAAAAAAATGAATGACATCCTATTAGATACAAACAAATTTAAGCCAACCCTCACAAATCCAACAAAAACACATAAAAACCAACTAAACAAAATGTTACTACAATTGAGAAAATCCAAAACAATTTCAGAAAACCTTTATTCCTACGTACGTAAGACCGACTCCCCCACACCACAACTATACGCACCCCCAGCCTCACAAACCCCATTGTCCACTAAGACCCATAATGTCGACCCATGATTCGTTTAACTACAACCTTGGTAATAACATAGTATGGACATTTTTTACATGTGTAACGTCAGTAGGCTACTTTTTTAAAAACTCTTTTAACTTTAAATCTATTCTGGATCAAATAAATCATAAAGCCTTAATGGCCAGTTTTGACGTGATCTTCCTTTTCACTGAAGTCCCAATTACTGAAGCCTGCAAGATAGTTTTAAAACTTTATATCCAAACCCATTAATACCCATCCCTAGCAAACAACTAACAACTCTTCTAGAATTCACTACCACCAAAACCAACGTCATGTTCAACAACAAAAATTACATACAAATAAATGGCTTAAGTATGGGCAATCCTGTGTCACCAATTCTAGCCAAATTTTCATGATACAGGTTGAGTATCAAGCGATCAATTCAGCCATATACAAAAACTCAAACCAAAATTGAACCAACTTAAAAGAACACCTTTATACTTATATTAATTAATCACCTAACGTCTAACTGTAACGCCACGTACAATCTCGTACCCGTTCACACTCTCGTCCCTAAGACATGTGCCCTATAATGGTCAGTTTCAAACTGTCTTTGTTAACCTGAAGATTACCTAAGAAGGTCGAAGCGTTGTTCTTGTACTTTATTTTAATTAAACTTTTACTACTCATACAAGCCGTCTCTACTAGACATGTATGGTTTAGCCAATACACAAACAAAAACTGTTCTCCAAGATCCATCATTTGAAACGTCGCCCCTACAATATATTCTTTATCCAAATGGTCAGTACAACTTTTAGTATTTGTCCTAGGGAAAATATCGCCGTCCATCATTAAACGTTACGACGATTTGGCCGATAGAATAAAAGTGATGGAAAATGGCCAGTTTTGCTATCAACGCATTTACTAATTTACCAGCACTATAAATAATACCTCAAAATAAAATCCAGTAGCATAGCGGTATGTCTGTAGAAACCGCTAGAAACCGGGTTTCGATACCCGTGGTGGGCAGATCACAGATAGCTCTTGTGTAGCTTTGTGCATAATTAAAAACAAACAAACAAACAAAATAAAATTACACAATACTAAAGTAGAGATCCCACTTCAAAATCACACAATACTAAAGTAGAGATTCCACTTCCTGTTATATTTATCTCGATCGTTGAAATGTTTTGAAAATAACGTGTCCATGTGTTTAGGGCAGTATTACAATCAACAATACGGAACCACAATCGAAACCTCACTGTCACCAATACCATCTAAAATTTCCACGGAATCTTTGAATTGAATTATTTCCATTAGTAGGAATTAACATGAAGATTCCATAAAGAAACATGAGATAATCAAATATAAAAACCAAACTTCGCCTTGGCATAAATTTTAAAAAATCTTATATATCTAAACAACGAATTAATAAAAGCAATCCGCTAACAGCATAAATTTTACGTACTTATTTTTTTAACCATACACTAACGAATATTGAAGTAAAATTATAAAATAGCTCTATTAAAAAAAAAAGAACCATAAAATGTACACGAAAATGTGTTCCGTTGTTATAAAAATATAAGGCTTATACAATCTGTTTTACTAATTAAACATAAAAGCAGAAAACGTTCCAAACAACATACGGCAAGAATACAGTAAAGGTATTTTAACCTTCAAAAAACATTTAATATCTTAAGTGAAAAAAATTTAAAACAACTTTAATAACATAGAAAATATTGTAATATTTTAAAATGAACCACCTAATTCAAAGTGATCCTGTAAATTTGATTTGTGACTGCTTATTAATATTTCAATAACATTCATAAAATCTAAATTAGTTGTAAATTTTCTTTAGGCCTACAGAATAAAGATTACAATGAACAACGACCTTCATGTGACAAAAACGATAAAAAGTTATATAAGAACCTTATTGTTCTATATACTCACCACCCACCAACTCAGACTATGCTCTTGCATCTATCTGTAAATCTGAGAGGTCTATAGACCTTTTATTCAATTAGCGGTCTGTCACCCCCACCTCCCAGAATACTAAACGAAAACGCTTCATGGAAAACACAACAGTGTAAAAGGTAGGATTACGGGTTGTAGCTAAGAAGATTAATACATCCTGTTATTGAAAGAACGACAAGACGGGTGCATGATAAACGCAGTTTGCTAAAACATGTAATTTAGTTATAGAATGCAAATAAACCGATTTATTGTTTGTATCAGCATTTTTGCCCAAAGCTACACAAGTGCTATCTTGTACAGGGAATTTAGCTATTCGAACTGTCAGTACTAAAGTTACAGTTCGTCATTCGAGTGGTCAACTGGTATCTATTTAGTGGTCATTCGGATTTTCAATTATAAACAAGCAGTTGACCATTGAAATGCTAAAAGGTGATTGTCTGCCGGTTGATAGCCATATGAAGTTTCAATAGGATATTGACAATTGGCCATTCGAGTTGTTAATACTAAATTTACAATTAATCATTCGAATGACTAACTGTAAATTTCCTGTTTAAAATCGGAATGGCCAACTGACATCCAGTTAACACTTAATCATTCAAATGGCCAACTGTAAATTTACTGTCCACAATTCAAATGGTCAACTGCCAGATAATTGTTAGTTGATCATTCGAATGGCAAACAAACCTTATTAATGGCAGTCTGAATGGACAACTATTGAATATTCGAATGGATCTCATCTGACAGAAAGTTACTAGTTGGACATTTAAATGGCTAACTGTAAATGTCCCATTCGAAATGGGTATGACACACAGGCAGCTGGTTACTAGTTAGTCATTCACAATGTTAATTGTAACTCATCATATGGCCATTCAAAAGGTCAACTTGCAACCAATTTGTGTTCCTTATCTGCACATAGCCATCCATAATTCTGAACTAATAGACCAGAGATGAGGCAGCTGATAAACAGCATTCACTATTCACTCGTTCTTGGTCTACCATTATGTGACCCAATTGTGGTATTTGACCGTCGTCCTTGTAGCGCACCCGCGGTCTCAAAGTAGAGGGTATTTTTTTCTTTTACAACAGTGGGATATGAACCTTGAATTGAATTCATAGTTTGAATACCCTAATCTCCAGGTTACACCCCGCTACCTAAGAGATTCAAATGGTATAAACAAGTATTACGATTAGAAACTATAAATTTTAAAGTTAACAATGTAACATCATAAATTTACCTACCTGAGTTTACCAATTTGTCGAAGTATTTTTCATCATAAACGATAGGAACATCGTTTAGTTTAGAATGGTCTGTTGACAGATAAAAGCTTACAGGTTCCCATCGAGAGCACGGAATAACGGTATAACCTAACTGATCGGGCTGAAAAACAAACAAGAAAGAATGCGAACTACAAATGTGGAATGATTCTGCATTTTGTAATATCTTATTTAAGAAGAATAAAAAAACGATGAAGTTGTTTGCCTTTGTTGCTATGATTCAATGGTTTAAAGTTATGTGATCATCTGCTTACAAAAAATGTAGCTTGAAATGAAAACCTGTATTGTATAAAAGCTAATAACCAAGTATCATTATGTAGAAACAGTATTCTGAAAAGTGATTAACATTGCTGCACTCTTGTTTCCAAAATTGGCTTTCACATATTCTTAAAGATGCCAGTATAATTTTTACCCAATATCTTGATTTGGTAATCACTAACTAATTACACGATACATATATTTTTTTTACATACAACAGTATATAATATATAAACTATCAAGAGATTAAGAACAAAGAAACTGTTCCAGAATTCAACATTGTTTCTTTTCAAAGAGAACTTGAACCCTAAACCTAATTATTAGGATGAGCTGTGAACTAACAGAAGTCAGATTATCCTATATTTTTTGTGGAATAATCGTACAAACAGGGAGAAAATGTGAAGGTTGAAAAGGGTGAAATCCTCGTAATCCACGAAATCATATCGATTGTGTTTTCATGTACTTTTATTTGGTTTCTTTGTCTGTATGCCAAAATTATCGAAATTATAATGTTTACACTTCTTTTTTACAACTTCTCTTCCCCCTCCCCCTCCCCCACGCCTTAATCCTTAATTTTCATATTAGCGTCTTGACTTGCTGGCAGCCGACATTGGAATGTGAAAAGGTATGAAAATGGATAAATATTTGATAAGAATATTGGTGAGAATAGAGTGGTTAGATCTAGCACAAGTCATAGTTTAATTGTAACTGACGATGAGGAAGATTGCAAATCTTTGAAGAACAAAATGTGGCACAGTGTTTAGAATATACTGGGTAATATTTCTTCAAACATCGTTACTGCTGGTTACATCTGTAAGGAATTGCTTTATGGCAAGTTTAAGAACCAGTTCATAGTTTTTCACCTGTACTAGATACAGTAATTTGATTACCATGGCTCGAGTACGACTTAATGCAGGCCTCTTTCTTGGTAGTCCTAGTATCCCAAGCTGATCCGCATTCCTTAGTTTTCTAATACCATTAAACAAGGGTATATCCTATTCTTAAAAGTTCTAAATCCCCGATCATAAAATATCTTTACGATCTGGCTGTAAGAATATTTGCGTCAGAAAGGACTATTACATGCCTTTCCCAAAAGCTATCAATTTTCGGTGACATCACACTATCTACAACCGCCAAACAATGTCAAATTGTAACTCTGATACCACGAATTTATAACATTACTTGGTGATTTACGTATTCAAACTCGTTTCAATATAACGTACTCAACAACCCATTGTATTGTTCACCACTCTGAAAAACAATTTCCTATAGAGATACGTGCAACATATATGTTTGTTTTAAATATGCAATAAAATCTAAGAATCGCGAAATAATGCACTGAATTGCTGTTTTCGTTTTCCCTCAGGTTCTTCATAAATGTTCTAAAAGTTATTGGCACGTAAGACTTGAATATTTATGACTGTATGTATTCCACTTTTTTTCTCATTTTCGAATTGCAATTGCATTTCAAACAATAATGTAATATTGTGAAGGAAGAAGAAGTTTTCTTTACTCCTCTTAATGTTGAAAACTTCCGAACTTCATCCGCAGGAGCCGGCCAGGTGGTTAGGGCGCTCAACTTGCAATCTGAGGGTCGCGGGTTCGAATCCACATCCCACCAAACATACTCGCCCTTTCAGCCGTGGGGTGTTATAATTTTACGATCAATCCCACTATTCGTTGGTAAAAGAGTAGCCCAAGAGTTAGCGGTGGGTGGTGATGGCTAGCTGCCTTCCCTCTAGTCTTATAATGCTAAATTAGGGACGGCTAGCGCAGATAGCCGTCGTGTAGCTTTGCGCGAAATTCAAAGCCAATACTTTTAACGGACAAGAAAACCAACTTAAGGGGGGGGGGGTCGTGCATGGGCAGACTGTGAATCCCAGAATTGACGATTCCCATTTCATTGCCACTGAAACCGTGATGATAGTAAAATTACAGTATTCAGAGATACAATAGTCCAATAGTTGGCGGTCAGTACTATTAGCTAGCTGTGAATGACGACCTGAAGTTAATAAATAAGTACTTCCAAACAATAGTTTAAAGGACTATATATGGTATTACGAGCCTGTTTGCTAAGCAGTTTTCCCTTACAAAAATGGATTGTTTGTTCACCAAATTTGTCGGAATAAACGTTTTTCCAGTCGTTCACAAGTGGTTGATATCAGATGTAGATATATCTCCTACAGACAGCTTAATGTAAGCTATTAACATTCTCAGACAATAGCATAATCATTGTAAGGAAAACATTTTGTTGAAATGCACACGTTGCCGAGTTGCGCGAGCGTGCTGAAAAAGTTTAAACTAAACTTTCGTACGGTCCAAGTTTTATTAGCCCAAACCACTTGAAATGTGCAGTGATGCTTAATCACCCAAACAGTTAACAATCGTGACTTTATTAATGAAATCATTTCATACTGTCATTCTAAAACCGAATAACGTAGACTTTCCTATAGACTGTATTTGGAAAAGTTTTTTTTTGCTTCGCATTTTGTTCAACTTGGGGTATGATGGCGGGTAAAACAAAATCTGCTGTAA